CATATGTATACACATAAATGGAAAGCCAAGATTATATGATAGAAAGTTCTTGCCAACGATAAATAAGATGGTATACAAAATTTTGGAAAACCGATTAGAATGAAATTAAGGACAATTTTACGGAGAATCTAAGATGCCACAAGAATAGATATCGGCAAAATAATAGTAACAATAGATGATTGGCAGAAATATATATCACCTATGACGCAATTAATTTCCGGATCGAATGTAAAGGAGATAGTAAGTGACATTCGAGCCAATAAGAATCATTTGAACAATGACAGCTAATTTTTTGATGGCCACTGATGGTGGTTTTGACTATGCGAACTTTGAATAACCATTGCTTTTCTTCGCCTAATCTCCATCTGGCTTTTTCACCTTAGATCCAAGCATATTATTTTTGGGCTTGTTTTTATTGATCTTTATTATAGGATATTTGTTCTCATCTTTTATAGTATTTGAATACCTGTTCCCTCTGTTATCTAACGTTTTTAGTTATATAGTTTCCATTCATTATCACATTTTATTTATTTTTAAATATATCTCTTTGTCGTATGGGAGAACGTTGCATATATATATATATACATGCACACACACACACATATATATATATATATGTATAGTAAAAATTAGCTATAGCCAGTTTTGTCATCTTAGTTTTGTTTCATGACCTCTGTTTTTACGTATAGTCTCTTTAATTAATTTAGAGGTTGTTAATTTATCTAATTGACAATTTCCTCCTCTGGTCTCTCCACTTATTTCTGGGCTATCTTGTAATTAAACGACTGCTCCTATCTTTATCATCAGGTGGGTGGCGGTCAAGCAACACCTGCAGTACAACCTCCTGAGGTGGCCCGAGGCTCTTCTGCCAACACTATAAGTCCCTGTAGCCAACTTAGTCGTACCTTATTCTCCACACCTCCTGCATCTCATTCGGATCGCAACGACCATTTCTCTGCATCTTCTAGCGCGGCACATATGCTTGTGGAGCCCACTGGCCGCAGATCAGGGCCTCTAGGGATGGTTGACTCCGGACTATTTGATGGACCCAAAATGGACGTGTATAGCGCTGGTGTCAGTCTTTACTTCATGCTGACTGGACGTGTGCCGTTTGCTAGTTCAAACGTTCTTCAAATCTTTGAAGCTATTGCAGAAGGCGTTTACACTATACCTGGCTACGTTTCTTCTTCCGCTGCCTCTCTTATCCATGGAATGATGGCTAACAATCCAAAAGTAATTAGAAAATTGTATTTTTTCTATTTTGTCATTGAGCCTTCTGTTTTTGAATGCGGTTACTTTATAAGAGAAAAACGAACGCTTAGAATTGATTTTTGAGACTTTGTTTATGATCAAACCTCTTGA